TGATCTTCAGTATGGAGCCAGTGAACTGGGTAGTTGTTCATAAAGTCTGCGGAATTTTCTTGGAAATGGTATTCGTTTCTGATCCGAATATAAGAACTGACTGACTGACTGAGTGATTTCACATTTGTGCTGAAAATCCGAATATTGTTGTGTTTATCCTGGCTGGTTGAGTGAAGTAGAAGATTTCCAAACTGGTTTCAGGTTGATGAAGGTGTATCCCGCCTTTTTGATTCTGAATGACTTTAACATCTTCGTCCGTTCCGCCGGCCTGTAGTTGAAACGATGCTTCCCAGATAGGTGAAAGAGACCACCTCTGTTAAATCTCTCCCGTTGATGTGGATTGGTGCTGGATGTTGTTGCTGTTGGTTGATTGGTTAACTTCATTACCTCCGTCATCTCTGTCTTAACCTACAATCCTGTTTTCGCTGCCTCTTCTGCCAGTTCGTTGGTGTTCGCCTGCCCGTAAGTCTTCGAGTTTGTGTGACACTAGACATATATCATCTACTCGCGAAATCCAGATTTTCCGAAGTCTTTTTATTGGTCTATCCAGCGTATGCCTGTTTTTTCATTCCCCTTGCACATTCTGACGCATAATTCAGTCCACCACAATACGGAGTATTATTGGTAATAATAGGCAGTGTGAGCCTTGCCTTATTTCTGTATTGGCTTCAAAGGTTTCTTTTCGTTTTGTATCACCTGACACGTGGCATTATCATATAGTCAGCTGCTGAATGAGGTTGATAAAGACTTGTCGTACGCTATAGTATTGAAGAAGTTTCCAAATAATTTCTCCGTCAACGCTGTCTGTCGAAGGCTTTTTCGAAGTTGGTGAAGGAAATTAAGGTAAAGGTTTGACTGTCATTATATGCTTTGTTTGATCAAGATGCGTTTAGTTGCAATTTGGTCAGCGAATGATTTGCCTTTCTTGAATCCAGCTTGTTCCCTGCAAGCGGACTTTTGTTTCCAGTGCATCTTGCATTCTCCCCAGGATGATGCGACTTAGTATTTTACTTGGCGTGAGTGGACAAGAGCATTGTTCCACTCCAGTTCTTACAGAGTGACACCTAAGTCTTCCTTCTCTGACAGTTTGACGAGGTAAACCTTCTTCCAATCAGTAGGCACTTTTCCTTTTTTTCAAACTTTTTGTAGTAATGGAGTAAGGACATCCATTGTAATCCCTGGGGTCGTCTTCAGTGCTTCGATCAATACTTGCTATTTATTGTTACTTTTCCTCCAATGAGTTTGTAACAAGTAATCTGGAAATCCTAGGGGAAGTGTTTCGGTATCGCCTTCATTTTCCCTGTGTTAGAATTCGCTTGGTTGTGGCTACCAAGGGAATCAAGAAAAAACTTGGGCTATGAGTAGCTACATCTCACTGTGTAGTACTCAGTAGCCTTAGGGTTCAGACACTGATATTTAGTGGACAAGCTATCCAGTTGAATTATTAGTTCACTAGGCTGATGAGTCACAACCGAGATGAAACATATGTATTTGGGGTTTTACTTCTAGCTACTACTACTACTACTACTATCAACTGATAAGTCAATCATTCACGAGAACAGAATGTCTCAATAATTATTGTTTCATACTTTATCGTCATAATTCCTTTATACCCTATCCTCATCGAATCTAAACAAGACTTCAATAACTGACTTGTACAGATACATAATTCTTGTGGCAGTGTCTAATCTTACAGCATAAACATTTAGATAACATTCATTGCAATGCAATCGATTCTGAGCTGTAAAGGTACTAAAGGTGAATTATCATTAATAATTATTAACAGCTTTGAGGGTTAAACTTTAACTTTTTACGAGTTGATCACGGATTGATATCAATTAGAGAACCTAAAACAAGCAATAAAGGTTAATAAAGCAGGATGATTTAATGAATTCATCAAATTTCGGTAGAACTCGTCAGCTGAATACTCTACATACACGAATATATATACTTTTGAAATTACATAGGGAGATATAAGACTGATAAGTAAACAAACTACATTGAATTAATCATGCAGAGAGACACGTGCGAATATTTTCCAGGTCATGTTCAAATAGATAAGGGGAGAGAGACAGGGTATGAGAGATCAAAATTAAGATAAATTGCATTACGCTTCAATAACATCACTTAGATAAACAATCAGTCATTAGGGAGTATACCGAGAATTGCAAACAGACTAATATCAATAGTAATAGTTTTAATAACAATAATAATAATAGTGTTGAAGTGAGTTAAGATAATCTTACGGATAAAGCATAGATTTAAATGAATCAAGAATAATAATAATAATGGTAGTAATAATAACAAAAATAATAAGAAGAAGAGGTAGAACACATATAGTCTCTGATTCATTTCAATTTGTCAATCAAATTAAAGATTTCAATGTATCCGATAAGCATTTAGTCTCTTTCGATGTTACCTCCCTTTTCACAAATGTGCCAGTCGTTGAAACTATCGACTTCATATGTAAAGAAGCTGAAGACATACCCATTCCAACATCGGAATTGAGGAAATTACTACTTTTATGTACTAAAAATGTCCAATTCCAATTCAACGGGCGTCTGTTCCGTCAAGTTGATGGTGTCGCAATGGGAAGCCCTTTGGGACCACTTTTCGCAGACTTATTCTTGTCACGCCTAGAAACCGGTACTTTGCAGCAATATATACAAGAAACAAATGCATACCTAAGATATGTTGATGACATTTTTATTGTCTGTGAAAGCAGATCAAAAGCGGAAGACATGTTAACAAAATTCAACTCATGCCATCCAAATCTCAATTTCACAGTAGAACACGAGGAAAACGATACTATTAAATTTCTAGACGTTCTTCTGACCAAAATGAATGATGGCACAATCGAAAGATCTATATTTAGAAAGTCCTCATGGACAGGACAGTACATGCATTTCAAGAGCTTTGTTCCAATCGAATACAAAAAGAACTTAGTCAGAACACTGTTCAATAGAGCACGAAAATTTGTTCTGACAGTACTTTTGAACATGAAATAAAATCTTTGAAGGATATTTTATGTAAGAATGGATATCCTGAGAAGTTCATTAATAAATACTCTAAAGAAACTACCCCTTGCAAAACAATTCAGACAGTTCCAAAGAAACCTGTCTATATCAATTTGCCATTCAAAGGAGATGACGTACAGGAAATAGTGAAACGAAGACTTGACAAAGCCATCAAGAGAACTTATTATGCTGCAAAACTTGTTATCCTTAACACCACCAAGCGAGTGCTTCAACAATCTGGGAAAGACCAGTCGCCAATCCTCGACACTTCAAACTGCATATATCAATTTGAGTGTGTTTGTGGCAGCAAATACATAGGTCGTACGGAAAGGCGATTGTCTACTCGCATGATGGAGCATTTGCCAAAATGGTTGAAAACAGCTGAGTGCAAAGTCCCAAAATCCTCAATAACAAAACATCTCGTGGATTACGGACATGATATCGACGCCGTCAAGTCATTCACCATCGTCAGCAAACAAAGAAACAAGAAGATGCTTGCAATTGCAGAGGCTTGTGCAATTCGAATTTACAAACCAGCCCTCTGTATACAAAAGGAGATGGTCGTCACTCTGAATCTACCATGGTAATACGCTTTACTTATTATTCTCTACTTGTTATTACTATTATTCTACCTCTTCTTCTTATTATTTTTGTTATTATTACTATTATTATTATTATTCTTGATTCATTTAAATCTATGCTTTATCCGTAAGATTATCTTAACTCACTTCAACACTATTATTATTATTGTTATTAAAACTATTACTATTGATATTAGTCTGTTTGCAATTCTCGTTATATTCCCTAATGACTAATTGTTTATCTAAGTGATGTAATTGAAGCGTAATGCAATTTATCTTAATTTTGATCTCTCATACCTCTCTCTCTCCCCTTATCTATTTGAACATGACCTGGAAAATATTCGCACCTGTCTCTCTGCATGATTAATTCAATGTAGTTTGTTTACTTATCAGTCTTATATCTCCCTATGTAATTTCAAAAGTATATATATTCGTGTATGTAGAGTATTCAGCTGACGAGTTCTACCGAAATTTGATGAATTCATTAAATCCTGCTTTATTAACCTTTATTGCTTGTTTTAAATTCGTATCGGGAAATAAATGTTTTCAATTAGAGAACCATTGAAAATCGGTCACAAGGAGTACTGGACAGCCATCTGTTTCGTAGGCCTAGTTTGGGAATCATCGGCAATACATACCTACCCCACTGCCAGGGTCGAACCTAGGACCTTCCGGTTACAAGGCTAGCAAGCTCGTATACCATTCAGCCACTGGAACCCAATTCTATGGCCAGTCTACGAATTCTAACTTCTACTAATTCGTGATTTAGCATGACTGGCACCGACCAATGTCATCGATGGGAACTCCATCCTCACCGGATGGATCTCACTGGTCAGAACTTTTAACTAGAACTCCAGGAAACTCTGTCCAGTAGCAAGTCACTGGCGAGCATCAGATTAAATTTCTATAGTCGATGATTCCCAAACTAGGCTGACGAAACAGCCTACTTTCCAGTACTCCAGTGGTGGTCTTCAACGGTTCTCTAACTGAAATAAATCCGTAATCAACTCGTAAAAGACAAAACTAACCTTTACAAACCAAGTGTAGCAGTTCAAACTTTAAAACCCAATCTTTTCAGGTTTCATCAGAGATTGAAGTTAGTTAGAGAACCAGGGAGTACTCGGTAGCTCTGTTCCGTCACAGCTTAGGACTATTCTACACTACCCACTCACCGGGGTTCGAATCCAGTACCTTCTGGTTACAACGAAAGGTCGTGGACTCTCCAGCCACAGAGATCCGATCCAGTCGACCTCCACTGATACGTGATTTTTAGCGCGACTATTAACCAATGTCATCTGCCGCTTTGACTCTTAAAAGTCCCAAATCTTTCCCTTTCTCATCAAAATCTAAACATCTGAATATTTTTTTTAAATATTGTCTTTTATATTTTTAATTGACACAGATATCAGTGAAAGATATTTGGACAAGATCTATCATCCAGCCTAAATCGTACTTATCTAAGCATAGACTGATTATGAATAGATTAACTGATCAAACAAAAGCTATACACATTCCATCATCATTAGAAAGTTATTATTTAATGAATACTGCTCAAACCGAGAAGATAAATAATGAAGTATGCGAAAACAATTTGTCAACTGAATCATTGTCGTCGTCGGCGTCTCTACAACAGCTTGACCCTTTTCATCCAACCAATGCTGAATCTAACGCTACCACTTCTACTCCTGCTAATGCTCATATCAGTAGTGTTCATGGTGATACAAAAATAATGAATTTAGACAATAAACAAATTGAAATGCTTTCCAGCTGTTTATTATCTGCACTGTCAATGAAAGATTTAATAAACACGCTACCGAATGCATTATTCCCTCAACAGACAAGTTACACTACGTCTAACAATACTACTCTCAGTAATAGTGGTAATACCAGTAGTAATAGTAAAGATAAGACAATCAGCAGTAATACTCCACATTCTGGTGTATACTCTACAACACCTACTACTATTAATGATAAAAGTAGTAAATTAACAGCCTTTTTAAAAACTGTAAAAGATAAAAAGTTATTGACAGCTGTTAATAGTTATCAAATGAATGCTGAAGAGGTGAACATTGGTATTGCCACTAGATTAGATGAAGAGAAGGTCAATTCATCTAAGGTATACAAAGATAATAAAGACATTGGTGGCTCCCTCGGCACTGATATCGGTTATACGGGTACAAGCAGTACAAGCAATAGTTGTAGTGGTAGCTATGGAGACACCACCAATAGTATTGATAATTCTCTCCGTCAACTTGAAGAATCCTGCATAATGCCAAACAGACCGACGGATGATGGTTGTCAACAAGGCGGAGAGAAAAAACAGTTAAAGTCTGATGAAGGTGGAATGATGAAGTCTGCATTACCAGGAGCGTTAACATTAGGAGTGAATGATTTCAAACAGTGTAGAAGTGTATGTTGTTGATAGATTTCTGTTCCAGTTTGATGTTCGTGTTACTGATCTTTATTATTATTGATTGAATAGTTGTTTTACTGAAGTTTTTTTCTTTTTTTTTGAGTTGATATTTGTTTGTGTTCAAAAGAGTGTCATTTATTTTGGTAATCCAGTTGGTTCTGTCCATTTTTCTTTTTTATTTCGTTGCTCTCCTTGTGGAATAACATAGTGCAGCCTTTTTCCAGAATTACCACCGGTTAGGCGAGGTTTAAGACTGTGTTTTGACTGAGAATTCAGTCCTTGATAGTGCACGTGGTTGGTGAGCATTATCGGAACGTAACCCTACAATATCTTGGAACCCAAAACCAGTTAGTCCATAGATCCTTACAGGGCTGAAACTAGCAGTCAACTACTACATGGATTGATAACATGTTTTGATTTGATCAAACGCTACTCTTTTCCATACTGATCCTGTTACGTCTAACATTGATCCACAACGATGACAATGGCTTGGCTTCACAGCTCAGTCGATCGAATTTGGTTCCTTACCTAATATTGTACGATTAAAGCTTATATATATATATATATATATATATATATATATATTGTTCTGCTGAGGTTCGAATTAATGGTCTACAGATTATTATCCAGGGTTCTAACAACTAAGCTATGACAACCGGCTGCTGACTGGCTTCCCATTTCCCTAAAGTCTCCAAAGGTTATACAACTTGTCAGTGCATAACTGTCTGTTAAAAATTAAACACAACTAGAAGGTGCTGAAATCCTACCGCGATCTATACCTTCTCTTCATATTCAGTGATCACTAACTTCGTCATATAAGGGACTCTGACGATTACTCTGTAGTCTAGTAAAGTGATAAATAAATGCATTTATAAAACGGTTCATGAAATGCACAAATCTTGAAGGTGTGTACAAATAATATGCAATTAAAAGTACACAACCACCATCAACGGGAGGGATTTGAAAGAGGTTACTTCATTCACTTATGTAGCACTGAGCATTATCTCAACTACAGGAGTCGGAACGGATGAGGATGTCAAATCGAGCGAAAATCGGGAAGGCGGCGAGAAACACATTCATCAACCTGAAACCAATCTGGAAATCTTCGTCACTCACCATCAACAACAAAATTCAGTCGGATTTTCAATACAAACGTCAAGTCATTCAGTTCTTCTATACGGATCAGAAACTTGGCGGGCGGGTCAAAAAGAATATCTCCACCAACAGCCGTTGCAGACCTTTATCAACCAACAACTGTCTTCGCTGGATCTATAGCGAAGATCATATGACCGGGCCGAAAAGAATCATCAACAAGAAACTATGGGAACAAACAAAACAAGAACCAATCGCCAACCAACAAATATGCAGGAGAAAGTGGAGATGGATGATGGAAACTCGCTAAGGAGGCCGCTGGGTGACATCGTGCGTCAGGTCATCGCTCGAGTGGAACCAGGCCGAAAGGGAAGCGGCGACTGGGACGTCAATGCAAGGGTGACATGGAGGAGATCGTGTGAAGAAGAGTTGAAACAGTATGTACTAACAAGGATGCAGGTGAGAAGCACAGCAGAAGAAAGAAGCAATTGGGGACGTGCAGTTGAAGCCGTATGTTCCACTAGGAACCCAGTGGAACGATAATAATAATAAAAAAAACTACACAACAAGGTAGTGATGTTGATATATCCACCGTTCGACGTAGATTTTGTCCAGCAGATTGCAAGAACACTGTCCTGTATGGTTACGAAGAGAAGTTAAAGTGAGGCTAATAAGTAGCACAATTATTAAACATTCGGTCGATACAGGTTACCACCTTATTTCTACAGCCTGCCTGAATCATTACATCTCCAAGTCATCTGTATTTCTAAAGCTTTGGCTATCGAAACAGAAAAGCCAAATGTTTGTATTACAGAAATAGTTTGTCCAGTACGTCCATCTTTCATAGCCTTAATCCATCTACACTTAGGTGTGATAAATCATGAATAATTCCTATCCAGGCATTTATGAAAAACAGAACACGTAGTTTTTAACGAAGAGTCTCTTTTCGACGGCGAATTCATTCACACTTAGCTGTACAATTGCAATTATATATAATTATTTTGTTTTGTATGTGTGTAAGAGTCCATTAGCCTTTGTCAGACACGAGTAAAAATTAGTTAGAGTTGCTGTTTACGTCATCGAAATATTTCAAAAATATGTGATGAATAATAAAATTGTAACTATGGGGGCCGGGTTAAACTAGTATAAAGGTAGTGGTGATGAGTTGTCGGAAATGTTAGTCAGTGCATAAGAGATTTGAGTAAGTGTATTATAGTTGCATAATAAAATGAATAACTTAGAGAGTGAGTTTTGCTTAGGATGTACATAGAAACAAAGTAAGATATGGAATTATACAAGTTTTGAAGAAATACTAGAGTTATAAGGAGTTAGAAAAGCAGGTACGCAAACATCAAGTCGGAGGCGTTTGTTGAGATGGAATGGTTAGTGTTAACAAGGTGTTCGATGACTTCACTCCTTAAAGAGCCACTACCACCTTCATATAACCATGCGGGATAGTGTTCTCGAATTTGTTTTGGACAGGATGCGCGTCGAACGACTAATGTACTTGGTTGGCTCCACAGCAACAGGTGAATTGATATATGTACATAGAAGTGGCCATATATGTGGGTTCTTGTCCTTAAGGCTTCTGCAGATCAATGGGCGACTGGAGAACACTACTCTCAGCATTGCTGAGACGAATGTTGTTCTCAAAGATGTTTAAATTCTTCTATCCAGGATGTTGCAAGCTAACTTCCCCATGAAATCCAGATTCATATAAAGTATCTTTTTTGAAACAAGTAATATTTCGTCCCTCTGGACCTTTGGTTTGATATTCTTGTCGATGAATCTTGGTGGCTATCCATTTTGGATGAAGGTTTGTTTCAGAAGATTCAGTTCTGCCTCCAGGGTGCTAGGATAAAATATGATAATCCCCAGTTTAGTTTTCGTCAGGTTTATTTATTAGTCCTGAGATGCACAATGATTGTTCAGTTTTTATTCAATGGTCAAATATACCACAGAAAGACGGAGTAATATCGGGTTCTCCACTTGATTCATCGCTTGTTGATTGTTTCATGGTGTACCTACGGTCAAATATCCTCCTACAAAGAATCAAACACTTCGGAGTTTACAGTCGGTATATGGATGATATCATTATCATCACTGATGAAAATACTGACCTAGACAAGATTCTAGAAGTCTTCAATAACGCTCATCAGTCAGCTGAGTTTAAAATTGAACGGTAATCAGAAGATAAATTATCCTTCCCAGATGTACAGCTTACATGACCATCAGATGAAAGCCTACAATGATCAGTCTACCACAGGCTAAACTGGAACAGACAGCTGACAGACTATCACAGATTTGTCTCAATAAGCACAGAAAGAAGTCACATCGCCACTCATGTGACAAGAATTTACTGTATATGCACTGAAGACGTATTAATATTGGAATTCGAATCCTTCAGAATAACTCCAATCAAAAAAACCGATCTTCAACATCTTTCATCGATAAACATTTGAACAGAAAGACCGATAAATACTCCACGAATTATGGATGTGCTGAAGAGAAAATTAATTCTAAATCTGGAATTCAAGGTGTAACGACAGAATACAAGAGTCAGGCAACAGATCCTTCATTGAGAAAATCAACAGATATTTATAGATTTCTATGCATATTATTATTATTTTGTTATTGTAAGCAAAGAGGTAACGTCTTCTGATTGGTTTTTTTCCTGCTGAAGGTTATTCTGTCATCTCTTTGTGACCTTTTCTTTGAAGGTCAGTCCATATATTTGCGAATCGTATCCGCCCACGCTGTCTGCTGTGATTGGTTATTGAGTTCCTCAGCGTTAAGCTTTGTTCTCGTTTTTTCTCATGATCAAGATTTCGGACGTAAGCATTGACGTAAATTGCTGTCTACCGATTTTGGCTAGCAAACAGCTCTCACCACAAAGTGAGTTACTTCAAAGCCTCCTGTCGAGTACAATTGAAAGAATGTTGTTTGCTGCATCTCTACGCCGCAACTTCTCCACACCTACTCTTGCTCACAAAAAATGTCACATATAAGATCCTGCTGTTGACAACTGAAGTGCGTATTTACCAGTTCACATGCGGCTGTGGATCTGAGTACATAGGCCGTTTCATCAGGATCTTGTCTAGACACGCCCATCAATACTTACCAACTTGGTCGTCACAAGAAGAACGTAGAACAGTAAAAAACTCAATTCAGGGGCATATTATTACTTCTGATCTTGTGGCATCAACAGGGACTTCTTTCACTGTTTATTTATTGTTAAAAATAAATCGATAACATGTTGTTTTAAGGAATGCAATCAAATTGGCTCTCGTTGCCATCTGGAATTCAGATCATTTCAACTAAATCGACTGTCTGATCTGAGACAGATGGGTTACATTGCCGACAGATTCGACACCGAACGAGGCGAACAGTCGTCTTGTGTTCAGATCACTTTTTTGTGGTTAACAAGTACTACTACTGTTGCTTTATTCGAGTGCTTCAATCAACTACTGATATGAATTAATAAGTAGTATATAGCTTTATGCATTTATGCTTGCTTTGTTTATCGCCGTGCAGTTTGAAAATTTTATATCTCAGATACAGAATCTACTTCCGACGTCTAGGGAAGACGCTGAACAATTCAAGTCTGCTGTAATGCATTGATACAATGAATACTTCAAAAGTGCAATGCAAACAACGACAGATGATATCAAAAGAGTATAAAAGACAATTGAATGAACTATTGAATAACAAGGATATAATGCTAATTCATCCATTTAGAGGACCAGTATGTTATTTTAAATCTTAATGATTATTATAATATTATTATCATTGTTCCCTTTAGTTCCTAGAGGAACATAGAGCTTCAACTGCACTGAATAAAAGAGTAAAGAAGAGTGCCGGGGAAGACAGAAGAAAAATACTATGAAGCAATGACAAGTGAAGCAGAACAAACACGCTACAGGCAAAGGAGACCTCTCAACACTCCTCTACCAAACAACTAGGTTCCTATCGGAGAAACGTTGAACACTAATTGAGCCAGTGAAGGATGACAAGGGAAATTCAATCACCAAAGAGGTGGAGCAAAGAAAACACTGGGCTGAACACTTCAAAAGACTTCTAAATCAATCGCCACTGGCAGCACTGGACACAGAGGTGACTGTTATTCCAAGCTTTGTTCAGTTGTGATCCGTAGTGTGGAGATTTGATCAATACATAGCTTGTTTCTTCTGAATCCAGCTTGTTCCGGCTTGTTTGGTTCTCTTCAGGATGACGAGGCTTAGTATTTTGCTTGAGATGGACAGGAGCATAATGCCACTCCAGTTCTTGCATTGACTTAAGTCTCCTTTCTTTGGCAGTTTGAGTAAGTATCTTTTCTTCCAATCTTTGGGTATCTTGCCCTCTTTCCACACGTTCTCCAATAGTGGCGTCATCAAGTCCACTTTTGTCTCTAGATCCATTTTCAATGCTTCTGCTGGGATTCCATCTGGTCCTGCTGCTTTTCCAGCTTTTAGCATCTTGATTGCATTCAGGACTTCTGTTCTCGTTGGAGGGTTGATGTTCACTGGTAGTTCTGCTTCCGTTGTTGGTACTGTTGGGCAAGTTGTAGGTGGCGGTCGATTTAGAAGTCTTTGAAGTGTTCAGCCCAGTGTTTCCTTTGCTCCACCTCTTTGGTGATTGAATTTCCCTTGTCATCCTTCACTGGCTCAATTAGTGTTCAACGTTTCTCCGATAGGAACCTAGTTGTTTGGTAGAGGAGTGTTGAGAGGTCTCCTTTGCCTGTAGCGTGTTTGTTCTGCTTCACTTGTCATTGCTTCATAGTATTTTTCTTCTGTCTTCCCCGGCACTCTTCTTTACTCTTTTGTTCAGTGTATTGTAATTTGCATTCAAATCCTGTTTTTGTAGCTTGTTGATGCACTGGATGATGTTTTGTTTCACCATCCTTTGCTCTTCTATTAGTCTCAACGTGTCCGTAGTGAGCCACTGTTAGTCCTGTCTCTTCTTTCTGCCTAGAACTTCCATGCAGGTTTGAATCCACACTGCTTTCAGGCCGTCCCAATGCTTTTCAACACTGGTCTCTTCACTAGTGTTGATTGGTGTCTCCGCCTTTTTCCTTATGATTTCAGTGGAGATATTCTTTTATCCTGTTCCTTCAGATTTTGAGTACTGAACTTGACTTGTGGTCTATCTGCAGCTCCTGTTTCTTGAAAATTTTTAATTTGATTAAGAGTGTTCCTTGTATGAGATAGTGGTCTGAACCAAATTATGCTCATCTTCTTACTTTTGTGTCCAGTTAACTGCGTCTCCACTTCCTTGAGCAGCACTGAGATGAACTCAATCTTGAGGATTGCATCAATAAATTAAGTACTATTCTTTGTGACGGTAAAATTTTTTTTAAGATCAACCAAACAGAAAAGATAAAACGGAAGTCAAATATTACAAATACGCTCTAAAGTTATACCTTGGCATTATTGATGAGCCCTGAATAAACATGAAACATTTATTAATAAATTCTTTGTAATTTTTCAGTCATAATCATAATGTAAGTCAATTGCTTTAAAATCTACCGTCTATTTCTCTTTTAGACTCTTGTATTGTTAAATTTATGTACCTTGGAATATCACGTACAGAAGAGGCGAAAATACAACAAACAACGCTTGATCAACAGAAAACTCCTAAAGGAAAAGTCAGCTCAATTAAGGAGGATAATCAATATTTATCACGTGTTATTATGGTTATTCAACAACCGAATGGTGGAAATACTGTGACTGTGTTTAAAGATTCACTTCAACCAGGCGGTAAGTAATAATATCAGTGATAATACCGTTGTCTTTTGATCATAGGTGCCTGTGTTCTGTCTCCTGTGTGTGCTAAGTGGTATAAGTAGGGTAAGCATTCTTGAGGTTAGGTAACGACTGAGTGCTAGGAAGGTGGGAGGGAAAATCAATAGACGAACGAGGCTATGAAGCTCCATAGATTGAGATGATTAAGACATGTATTACGTATGCCTAGTCATCGCCTTCCACGACAAAACGCAATGTTAGCTGATATGGGGTCAAATTGGAAAAGAGAAAGTTAGTGGTAGTCAAACCCAAACCAACAGAAATTCATCGGCCAATGAAATCCACAACAGTTAGTTTAAGCCAGCCAGCCAGCCATGTAGGAAGGTGTAGACTTCCTGCATTGTTTGGGTCCTCGGGACGGTAAAAATCAATGAAGACTGGAGACAATTGGTGATATTGCTCAAAATCGTTCTCAATGGCTGGCTCAGAATACATCCACTCCTTGTGACTTATAATTTCCAGTAAAACTATATTGTTCTTCGATATTTCTATTCTTTTTGTGCCTCACATCTCTGTCTACTGTCTTTATTTTGCATTTCCTTTCACTTTCTTCTCTTGTTTTGTGTGCTACATGAAGGGAGTGTAGCGATTCAAACTGTGCACATCGGTGCAAAGTTCTATGTTGAAAACAGACAGATAGAAGTAATTGTAATAGTAGGTAAGGGAAAGAACCAAAACATAACAAAAAACTCGATTCCCAGAAAAAATGTAATTCTTTCACTCTTATCAAAATATAACTCTTTCAAGTTAGCACAATAATGAATATGCAATATTAATGGAGCTCTAAAGAGTCTACACGTAATCTTCAGAATTGTTTTCTTCCATGAAAACTACCAACTGAGAAAATACATCTGGTGGAATTCGACGAATTCCAACAGCTTAATGTGGGCTTGTAAGTATTCGCGTTCAGTCAGGAGCTGACATCCGTTAGACAACCACTGGACATCCGTTTCGTTCTAGTTTTGGGCTCTTCATCAGTACTAACCCCCCGTGGTCTCGGACCCAGGATATCCCGGTTACAAGGCAGTCCTTTGAACCTTTCAGTCACCAGAAGCTGATTGAATGGTTTATGAACTCCAGATTCTACCAATTCGCGATTTTTTGCACACTCTCCAGTTAGTATCACAGGGAAGTAACTGTTCACTTGCCTCACTTAGCCAACCCCATTGGTTAGGACTTTAATTAATTGGATTTAATTGGGTATACGTTTGATTACTGATTTAAAGTTAGATCACGGATCGACATCAGTTAGAAAAACTAATAAGATCCATGGAGTACTCGAAGTGCTGACGATGACACTGTAAATCGTGATTTGATACAAGTTAGAATTCGTGGACGACTGGATTCCTTCACTTTGACTGAGTGACCAACGCGCTCACTTCATAGTATGAATGTCCTGGATGTGTTGTCCATTACTCCACGGTTTTCATCGGTTCTCCAACTGATATCACTCCGTGACCAAACTTGAAACTAATTTTATCCCTACAAACTAATGCTTGGAAAATAATCTGGTGCTCACTTGTGACTAGCTACAGGATAGAGGTTTTAGCCCAGATTTCTACTGAGAAGTTGTAACCAACTAGTGGCGCGCACCAGATCCAGAGTGAGAAGAAATACTCGCTGACAACAGTTGCTGGTAGTCACTCTAAAATGACGAATTGGTAGGAGTTAAAATTCATGTGTTGACCATTTTGTGGGATCCCAATGCCTAGATAATCAACGAGCTTTACTTGTAACCTGAAGTCCCTGGGTTCGAGCCCCTGTGTGTGTGCATACTGTTGATGAGTCCTGAAATGCGACGAAACAGATATCCAGTACTCCCTGGCAATATTCAATGGCTCTCTAACTGATATCAATCTGTGATGAGACTTGATACATATCAAATCTCCACGAACTGACTTCTGAATATTTAAGATAACACACAGTGAGAGATACAATGCTATTTACCGGATATTTTTTTATTATAGCTTGATTCCACACTGTATTTTTGGTGTGATATTCGTAGCCCAAATTTCACAGGCCGATCAATTGATATCAGGTTTGCATCGCCAGGGGATTGAACCCTGGATCGTGTGTATAGTCGGCGAGAGTCCTAACGACTGTGCCACTGACGCACAGTTTGTTGCTGCTTATAATTATACCAACGTGTCTTGACTTCATAACCTACATTATGTATTTTCATTCTCCCATGTCACTGATAGCGATTTTTTCATATATCCAGTATAGACGCTGCTGTATTTCAATTGCACATGTTTGATGTTGATTTTATTAGAAACGATTTGGCGATTAACCACCGCCTCTCTCTCCACCTAAGTGTATATTACTTTATAACACTGATACGCTTTCACATCCTGCTATTTGATGACATGCAAGAGTAAGTGAGTGCATTGCAGTGATTGAGATTCTTCCCAGATTATCTAACTCACTGGGGTCAATCATTCGAGATTTAACTAAATTCCTAGATCCCACCCACCCTAATGTGTAATTGAGTGTTCTTGCTTCTGACACTTAATCAGTACGCGGCCATGACGCCATCTGGGATATTCACGTTACAAGGTGAGCTTGTACATTACTCAGTCTTTGGGATGGAATGCAATGGCAATGCAATTTATATAATCGGCGGCTACCAGCCATTTAGCTAAATTCGTATGTTTCAATAGTTTGAATGACGTCAATCTGCTGGTTTCAGGGGACTATTTAACTGACCTTACAATCATTGAAAGTTGTTGTGTAGACTGAGTTATTTTTTGCTTAGTTAGGTTATTAGGTACCTTAAGCCTAAGAAACTTTTCCCTGAGTGAGGTTTTCCTTGATGTTTGGTTGTGAAAGGAATGCCGAGAAAATGCATTTCACTGATCAAGGCACTCTAGTCGAACTCATGCAACCAGCTAGGTGAAAGCTTACGGCGACTTGTCGTCTGAAGTGGTGATAACCAGTGGTGTCCGTCAGAGATGACCACTACTGCCCTTTCTATTCAATTTCATCATAGATATACTAATGGGATTAACCGTGACTGCTGATATCAGCGATTCCGGGATTGACTTGTTACCAGGGAATAATCTCCTTGACTTAGAATATGCAGATAATATAGTCTTTCTAGATGAAGACGCTGACAAAATGCAGAGTCTTCTGAACACCTTTAACTGTGATCTGCGAATGTTTTGCATACGATTTGCTCTTGCCGTCAAATGTAAGGTTGTGCTACACGACTGGACTACATTGACTCCGAGCTTAGAAATAGGCAGTGGAGTGTTGCAGTGCATTAACTACTTCACTTATTTAAGAAGTTACACCAGGCAGCTCACGAGGATTAATGACTGACGAAATTTCAGCTCGAATAAAAAGGCTCGTCTCGCATATGCCAGTTTACACCGTCTCTGGTGCAGACGTGATATCCGGGTGTCTACTGACCAAAGGACATGTGTACTGATCAACAGTCCGCTATCTCCTCCTTTATGGCTGTGATCGAGACATGACCACTGAGAGTGAAAGACATGAAAAGGTCGGCTAGCTGTCTTTGATCATAGGTGCCTGCGTTCTACCTCCCGTGTGAAGTGGTATAATAGGGTGAGCAATATTGAGGTTAGGCGTCGAAAGCTGGGTAGATAGGAGGGGAAATCAATCGACGATGCCGTGAAGCTACATCGACTGAGATGGTTAGGACATGCGTTACGTATGCCTAGACATCGCCTTCCTAGACAACAGGAAATGTTAGTTGATATAGGATCGATCAGGTTCGAAGAGAGCCAGTGTTGGTCAAACCAAAACATAACTTCATCAGTCAATGAAATCCACAACAGTTAGTTTAAGCAGCCAGCCAGCCATGTAGGAAGGTGTAGACTTCCTGCATTGTTGGGGTCCTCGGGACGGTAAAAATCAATGAAGACTGGAGACAATTGGTAATATTGCTCAAAATCGTTCTCAATGGCTGGCTCAGAATACATCCACTGCTTGTGACTTATGATTTCCAGTAAAACTATATTGTTCTTCGATATTTCTATTCTTTTCTTGCTTCATATCTCTGTCTACTGTGTCTACTTTGCATTTCCTTTCACTTTCTTCTCTTGTTTTGTGTGCTACATGGAGGAGGGAGTGTAGCGATTCAAACTGGTGCACATCGATGCAAAGTTCTATGTTGAAACCAGTCAGTCAATTAGTCAGTGCTTGAGTGAGTTTGTGGGTTTGAATGACACCATAATTCTTGGTCTATTGAAAATAAAACTGTATTCCTGTGTGTGTGTGTGTGTGGGTGGGTTTGTATACATTAAGCATTCGTATGAAACGCGTTTAACTGTATCTGAACTTCAAATTTTCCTTAAATAACTTTTCTTCACCATCCTACCTACTCAGGATAAATTGTTCGCTTTTGATTGTTTCCCATTCTAATTCAATTTTACTTATTACTGTGGTGAGAGATGTCAGCTAACCAAAATTGGTTGACAGCAATTTACGTCAATGTGTACGCACCAAATCTTAGTCATGAAAAAAAACAAACAATAACAAAGCCTAATTCAACAACCAATCACAGCAGACTTTGTGTGGGCGGATACGATTCGCAGATATATGGTCTGACCTTCAAAGAAACGGCCACAAATGAAATGAGAGATTAACTTCCAGTGAGAAAACGACCAATCAAAAGACACTGTTTCTCTGCTAATAATGACGTCAGTAATGATGTACATAAAAATCTATAAATATTTTTTTGATTTTCTCAATAAACGATCTGTTGCCTGGTCCTTGTCTTCTGTCGTTAAATTACACCTATTATCATTATCATTTTAGATATATTTCAAATTACATCGAGACGAGCTTATGGTTTTCCATTTTCACTGACATTCTATGTGGATGGTACACAAGATGCAAGAATTAGTGCATGCTGTGAATATCGTCATAGACAAGGTGTTCGTATTGGTGGGAGGAATGGTCATTTTGTATATTTAACAGTGGAAGGATCATTTCCATGCTATAGGTAAGTAAAAGTTTTGACTTTCTCGTTGACAGGATTGGAATGAAAAAAGCGTTGACTTCTATTGTAACAACAGAAGACAAAGGCCAGGCAACAGATCGTTTTATTACGAAAATCAACACGTATTTATATATATTTTATGTATATTAATAAGGCTAATGCAAGCAGAAAAAGGCAGTCTTCTCACTGGTTGTTTCTCGGAAGTTAAGCAGACAAACACAGTCTTCTGATTGGTTGTTTTCGATATTTCTCGGAAAGTAGAGCCATTTATCTGCGAATCATATTTGTCCACGTTTAAGTTTGCTGTGATTGGTTGATGAAACAGCCTTGTTCATATTTTCTCACGGCCCATATTAGTGACCTAGACATTGACGTAGATTAATGTCAACCAATCGGCTAGCAGCCTGCTCTCACCACACTATTACTGTGGAGGTCTTGAAAACGTCTGAGAATTGAAATAAAGTAATTCAGTGGATAATAACAAGCACCAATCACTGTCAACGGAGGTAATTTGAAAGAGGTTAATTTTAGTATGGGTAAAATTTATTTTGATAAAATCTCACAGTGTTATACAGTAATATTCACTGATGACCACATTTCGAGCACAATTTATTGCTCATAATCAGAGCTTGGCCCTTAGTTATTTATTTTTTTCTCTTTTAATCGTGTGGCAAGCGCGGCAGGTGCGTACCCCGAGTGAGTTTGTAGGTTTAAATGCCATCCTAATTCGTCCTTTATTAAGTCATGTGTCTAACACACCGACTAATAACACCAAGTAGTACACTAAAATGATGAAATAAAACAGACAGAAGAAGAGAAAGCGTTGGTATCAAATAACTATCCAATAAAATTCATTACGAAGATCTGGAAAGACCAAAAGCAAAATAAAAATAATGGGGAAAACTAATAATGATCACATAAATATGAGAGAATGTTAGTCATCTACTGTTATATAATATAAGGAGGGACATCTGAGACCCTACGTAGGATTCCCAATAAAGCAGGAATTAGGGCGGAACTTAAGCCTACAAACTCACTCAGGTAGGACAAGCTCTGTAGGTTAAAGTACCCTGTAGGCTGAACCAATCAGAGTAAAACAATATAATTTACAAATTACCTTGCAATGACTATGAGTAAAGTCAACTACATAGATCAGTCAAACCAGTAGACCGGGGGGGGGTGGGGTAATCAGACTCGTGGAACATAAGAATTTAGCTAAGGCTGGAATGATTGATCCCATGAAGATAAGTAATTTAGAAAAAAGCTCAGAAATCGCACTCCATGCATTAATACACAAACACACAATAGGTTGGGAGACGGTTAATATTCTAAATAGTAATCTATGTGGGCAGAGAGCGAGAGAGAGGTTGATTACTGAATCCAGCCGGTTCATCGAGTCTACATCCAACACATGTGCAATAGGAATGACTAGTCACTCATACCAGAAATAAAAAAAAGACTACTGGCAATCAAGTCAAGCGATGAAAACACAATGGAATGATATAAAAGAAGTTAGAAATTTGTGTGATTACCTTAACATGCTTATGAGCAGTGATAAATTGTGCTCGAAATGTGGTCATCAATAAATATTACTTACTGTATAACAACACTGTGAGACTTTATCAAAATAAATTTTACCCATAATGGAATTATACTCTACCCCCCCCCCCGCCACCCAGTGAACAAGTTCTATTCCTATATCAATAATTGAAAGAGGCTCCCTGCTCCACTTATCGAGGTAGCTTTGTTTCAACTACAGGTGACAAAGATGAAAAGGCAAGACTGACCTTCTTTTTACTCCGAAATCAACCAGTATATATGAACAAGATCTGGATTATCAGCACCCACTTTTAAGTCAATCAGATCTTCTATCTGTTCCAGACACTTGACTGATGCTTCATGATAAGCATTTCCAACAGGCTACCATAGATGTCTATGAACAGCTCTCATCTCTGGCTTTATGTTGAAGATCACACGGCCAGCCAGAAATAATTATCAACGATAAACTGTGTGAACATACCAATCAAGAACCTTGATTGAAGATGGATTGGGCACATTCTGAGAAGACCATTGGGGTGACATAACGCCCCATGCCATTACTCGAATGGGGAACGACGAGTTTGACATTGATCTGAGAGAGTGAAAGGGAGCAGATCGTGTGAGGAGGGGTAGAGAGACTATGGCCAATTGTGAGGCCAGATGAAGAGGAAATCAGAGAAAAGGACAAAGTGGAATTATGGCGTTGAAGCCCCTACGTTCCTCCCGAAATCCAAGGCAACAATAATAACAATAATTTGGTGGGTGATGACCAGCAGTATAGTCTTGGATATACATTTTTGCAAATTCGGGACTCGTCAGCTGAATGTACCTGAAGTTTGCAGCAAGTGATGATGTTCCTGTGTGTATCAAATGGTCGAGTAGTTACCGATATGACATTTGAAACAATGGGTACCGGTTTCTAGTCTCACAGGAAACGTCATCACTCACGGGGTATTGTAAGTACATCCAGATGACGAGTACCAGTTAGGATGAAAAGTACATCCTGGATTCCACCATTTACCAAATTAATTTCATTCATTAGTCTAACTAGTAACAAGTGTATCATGATATCTGATCTGAAAATTCCTCTATGAACAATCAATCTACCTACAATAATGACACTTATTTTTGGATATCTCAAATGACTTTCCCTTAATCTGTGTACAGTCATTGAAAGGTTTACATGTCTTTTCTGATTGATTCACTTGACTTTGAAAAAATAGAGATTTGTAGCTCAGGTGGATGATTTGCAGTCAGCAGTGTTCTCTGAGCTGGTTAGTTTAGTTGCGGAGCTTTCGTCGTCCCCCTGCTGGACAACATCTCCGTTCAGCGCAGTTTTTGGCATAAACTGAACTGGTTTAAATTTTCCAAGAGTGATAGAATTGTGTCTCCCGGTAACCATCTGTACATCTGTATTGACCATTTTATATTGACTTGGATTTTAAATTTTCCCGTCACATGATTTACTTTTTATTAGTTGGTACATTCGGTCTGTATTAACATGTTTGTTAATAGCATATTCGTTTGAGTACCAGGCTTCTAGGTATTCCCTGACTGCACTTTTGGTGTTTCCTCTGTCTAAAATTTCGACATTGTCCCAATCAAACTGATGTCCATAATTATCTACATGAATTGATATGAAACAGGAATATATATCATGTCTTTTCACAGCTGATTTGTGTTCCTGTATTCTGATTCGAAAGGGACGCCCACTATGACCACCGATGTAATGTTTGTTACAGTTCATACATGCAATTTATTTTGTAAATGGTATTAATTTTATCTCCTTTTGTCTATTGGATCTTTCGGTATGCACAATATCGAATGAAGTGATTTGATTGGGTTGTGTGCTATATCCATTTCAAACAGTCATAATATTCTAGCTGTTATTTCAGAGATATTTTTTGTATATGGTAGGATGAATTTTCTTGTAGTCTTTGATGATGGTTTCTTGTTGGTGTTGTGAATCAATTTTAAACACTTTTTGATGAAATTGTGCGGATATCGATTCTTTTTTAAGACCCATTTGTAGGTATTTTTCTTCCATTCTTTTCAATGCTAGAGTGCTACAGTGTGTGTTTGTATTCTTTTAAACAATGTCTGCACACAGTTTCTTTTGTGAGTAAATTGGGTTATTACTAGTATAGTTAAGTATTCTATCTGTACTTGTGTTTCTAAATTTCCTGTGTTAGTTCTCTTGATTAAGACATCTAAGAATGGGATTTTGTCATCTAATTCTTCTTCCTCTCTTGTGAATTTGGTATCTCATCAAATATGTTGTTTATTAATTTGTGGGTATATATTTCAAATCGCATTTCTTTTAATTATTACAAATGTATCATCAACGTAATGTACCCAGACTTTTGGTTTTAATTATAGGCATAGCTATTAATTCTTATCTTGACTTATTGTGTAATAGTCGATTGTTGATAGTAATTAATGCATTGTCAAATTTAGATAACAAATTACGTAATGTAGAAAGCATTAATCGGTTAGAGACTAAAATAAAAGCATTATAATTTAATACAACTAGTTCGCTTTATGAATTTAGATAAGGCATTAAGAAGACGTAATTTATCTGAATTATGTAATATGTATTTATGCAGCACTAATTTCAAACAATCTCATCTCACACGGACTTGTCATAGGAATACACATGTATGAAATTAATAAACAGATGGGATGTGAGAATATAGACTACTTAGGTCAAGTTAAAAGGCCGCCATATTGAAGGTCAAAATAACCATGCAGATGACTAAACCAAATAACAGAGGTAATAACTAGTACATCTACCCTGGCTGATGTCAAAGCAAAGTTTACCAAGGAAGGTAGGTTTAGTGTGATGATGATGAATTGTTTTTGAATATATTAAGGTGGTTTAAACTTCCTAATTGCTAGTAAGGACTTCCACAAAATTTTGGGATACGCCATCCCCGAACACATTTTATAGATAGATTTGAAAGATGTGTATAAAAGTCAATTTTATGTCCTGCCTGAATAGTGTGTTTCACAATAGAACAGCTAGGTTGTCATCTGTTCTCACCATCAATGGGTTCTGGAGATTCGATTTGCCTCTGAAGCTATTTAGGAATATGTTCTGAAGTCAGCCCTTACTTGCAGAGATTGATTACTCCCCCCCCCCCTGTGTATGTGTGGCCACACCTTGGCAAACATTCCTCACTAACCCACAATTTAGACAATGAGTTACATGATGTATATATGTATACTGTTTTTAGTTATTTAGACTTCTCGTTAATGGTTTTGGGGCTTTATTTTAACACTCACAGATGTCAGACAGCTAAAACAATGAAACGAGAATTAAAAGCGAAGAAGTTAGCTAAAAAGTCTATCAAACCTCGAGATGAAGAAGAACAAAGATTAGTGGATGGTGAAAAAGAAGGACAGAGAGAAGAAGAAGAAGGCGGTGAAGACAATGAGGATGATGTAGACGACAATGAAGGGGACTCTAAAGGTAATTGGTTGATTTATTCTCACTCTCTCTCTCTCTCACCATGTCTACCCTCTTATCCTCTTACATGTGTAAGATAAAATGTGATTGAAAATTCTTGATTCAGTAAGTATAAATTACCATACAACCTGCCGAAGGATCTTGACACAGTCAGTTGGATCGTTTCTCTTTTAACAGCAACACATTTGTGCAATAAAAAATTAACAGATTGTATGATGAATGCCAAGTCCCCCAGAGTACACTGTCAGTACTTACATCTATTTCCGTAGAGACTGATCTTCGTTCAATTTAATTTTAGGTTAATACATAGAAATGAGGTGCTGTTATTTTATTCCTCTGCATTCCCAGTAGTGGAACATAGAGGGCAGCTTCAAGCTAGAGGCTTGAAGTTTCAGTAGCAGAGGTGGTTATTCTTACGGAATGGAATGCTAGCTGTCTCATATCCAACCTTCCCTCATCACCGGTCTTATTACTGGCTTAACGACGTAAAGGAGTGCTTCGGTGGCCGGGAATCGAACCCACTAACATATGTGTGGTTGGCGAGCTTTCTACCACTGTGCCATCGATGCACAAATGAAGCGCCAAATAACTGCTTTTGTGATATCATCGAATCCCAATCGTTACGACTTCTCACTAGAACTCCAAGTAACTGAATTCGTCCTGTACCTACGAACTAGAGAGTATCGAATTAATTTTCAAGAAGTCCTGAAAGCTTGACGTGTAACTGGAAGTCCCGGAGTTCAACGCCATTAGGTAGATACTCACTCCTAAAGTGTTTCAAACTAAGACAAAACAGCTGAACAGGAAGTAGTCCTTGGTTTTCTGTCCTCCCTAAAATGACATCAATCGGTGATCAAAATTGGATCAGTCTAGTGATGATCTCGATAGAGGGAGTTTTCACAGAAATACAAATAATACAAAGTATTTGTTAATAAACTATCCTCATAATCTAACTGAAGGCAGTGGTAGAATCCAGGATGCGCATTTCGTCCTACTTGAGACTTGTCCGCCACTTGAATGTACCTGCATTCCCCAGTGAGTGATGATGTTCCCACCGAGGCTCGAACCCAGTGTCCATAGTTCCAAACGCCATTCAGGTGACTTCTACTATGGTGTGCATGAGTTTCAGTAGTGAAATGACTCACTAGATTAAATGGCTGGGCGGAAACTTCAGGTTCGATTTCCGGCAGACACTGAATTAAGCGCTGAATATATGCGCATGTATAATTTTCAAAATGATTTTCATCAAAATGATATTGGCTTGCAATAAGTAGTGTTCTCTGAGCTGGTTGGTTTATAGTTGCGGAGCTTTCGGTGTCCTCCTTCTGGACAACATCTTCAGCTCATCGCAATTTTTAGTATAAAGTGGACTGGTTTAAATTTTCCAAGAGTGATAGAATTGTGTCTCCCGGTAACCATCTTTACATCTGTATTGACCATTTTATATTGACTTGGATTTTAAATTTTCCCGTCACATGATTTACTTTTTATTAGTTGGTACATTCGGTCTATATTAACATGTTTGTTAATAGCATAGAAGACATTGCGAAGTGGTCGCGCTATATCGTGAATTGGCAGAAGTTAGAATTCAAGGACCATCGGATCGGGTCCCAGTGGCTCAATGGTCTACGAGCTCGCCTTGTAACCAGAAGGTCCTGGGTTCGAACCCCTGTGGGTGCGTACTGCTGAAGAGTCCCAAACTAGGACGAAACAGCTGTCCAGTACTCCCAGGTTTTCCTGTGGTTCTCTAACTGATGTCAGCTCATGATGAAATCCTTCATGCAATAGCATTCGTTTGAGTACCAGGCTTCTAGGATTTCCCTGGCTTATTTGGTGTTTCCTCTGTCTAAGATTTTGACATTCTCCCAATCGAAATGATGTCTAGCTCAGAGAACACTATTAATTGTAAATCATCCACCTGAGCTACAAATCTTCTCTATTATTTCAATATTAAAAACTATTCCGAACAGTAATGATCATATACAATGGAAACTTTTGACATGGCGTAATCAGATGAAAGAAAGGTGAAAATATCCAGTGACCAGGTGGGCAAAGAAAAACTGACAACTGTTTCTTTCCCTAACGCATAAATCAGGTTTGATGAAAATGGCTTCAGTAAACTTGAGGAGAATTGAACTCTTTTGCCTATTGCTAATTTTAAACGATCTTGTGACGTCCACTCCATGACCCATGTATAGGAGATACCTGGCTATGGCACTGTTGGAAGCATTTGTTCCTTTGACACGGGTTATGAAGTGGACGTCACAAGATCGTTTAAAATTAGCAATAGGCAAAAGAGTTCAATTCTCCTCAAGTTTGCTGAAGCGATCTTTATCAGGCGCCTGAAACCTGGTTTATGCGTTAAGAAAGAAATAGTTGTCAGTCTTTATTTGCCCACCTGGTCACTCGATATTTTCACCTCTCTTTCATCGGTTTACGTCATGTCGAAAGCTTTCATTGTGTTTGATCATTACTGTTCGGAAGAGTTTTTAATATTGTGTATTTTTATACATATTATTAGTGTATGCATATATTGATTGATTTTTGCTTAAAATGAACTCTGTGCAAGTATGTTAAAAATGTTTCTGTAGATATATAACGAGAGAAGACCAGGGTCAGGCAACAGATCGTTTATTAAGGAAATCAACACATATTTATAGATTTTCATGTCCATTATCAGATATTATTGTTAGCAGAAAAACACAGTCTTCTGATTGGTTGTTTTTCACAGAAAGTTAACCTTGCATCTCTTTGTAGCTGTTCCTTGAATGTCAGATCATCTATATGTTAAATTTATCCGCCTACGCAAAGCCTTTGTTCTCATTTTCTCACGACCAATATTGGGGACATAAACATTGACGTAAATTACTGTCCACCAATTTTGACTAACAGCCAGCTCTCACCATAGATATACTTAATAATGACTTTGGCCTGTAAGCAGCTGATGAGAAGCCAACGAAATAACCGAAGATGGTACCATCATCTTATTCCGCAAGAACTACTGTTGCTCTTGCTTTATTCAAATTTATTAAGGGAATAAATGTATAAAATTTTACATTTTAATGTATATTTATAATACCTTTCCTTTTTTTGCCATATTTTTCTATAAAAATACATTTTTTAATTCAATACTTAGATAAACAGTATAATACACTTGATATTGACATTGACAAGTGTACAGATGAAAAGTTAACACCAACGCATCGCCTATCCACTACTCTGTCACCTCCTCAACCAGATTATATGACAAATATAATTGTTAACAGCTTTGATGATAGTGATAGTCGTTCAATAATTGGTCAAATCGGTAAACCAGACCAAAGACATAATAAAGCTGAAGCATTTCTCAATCAGCAATCTTATGAACAGTATAAAAATCCAATAGAAAATGATCACCTCAACAAACAATTATGTCATGTGGATTTATCCAGTATACAAATTTGTAAGGAACAAAATAAATTCGAAGTTATTCAACAGGATAGTTTGTCGGATAAATGTGATTCTGTGACAGTGAATAATACACCATCAGAGCCTAGTAAATTCGAGGAAGTTGACAGATCAATAAAAAAAGATGAAGGCGGCATTGTTGAAAATAAAATACCGGAAGATTTTAACCTTTCAAAGATTAGCGATAGTTTGCATATGGATGAATTCAATAAAAACGTCGAAGAATATTCCAACAAAGATGACGACCAGAGTGATGATAATGATAGTGAATGTGCCGACAACTCGACAGGGCACTGTCAGACACCTGATAAGTACTCAAAGTTGAATAAATTGACATGTATTAGAAATAAATGTAAAGAAAAATTAAAAAATATTAAAGTTATGCACAGACAAAAGCTTTCAAAATGGAATCAGTGTATAAATATCAATGCCTCCATAGCATTTGACCAGTATTCTGAATTTTTATCAACAAACGTAAATATGATAAGTCCTCAGGGATCTGATACACAAGTGACAAGTAGAACTAATCTCATACACTATGAGAACGAAGATTATGATGATGATGATGATGATGATCGTGATGACGGCGATAAGGAGGAATCTTTTAATACAGTCAGTTTAGATAAAAAACGAAAACTATTGAACATCGAAACGCAGATGATTTGTTTAAAATGAATTTAATAAAACAACTTAATGAAATCGATAAAGAGTCAAGTTTCCATGAATTTACTTTGAAAGTTGAACAATGTAGACAAGAGAAGTTCACTTCAAATAAACAATTAGACGAGTTATCGAAACATACAACTGATAAGATAAATTTCAGTGACTTGTTTAACAAACACGAATCGCATGACATTAATTCAGCCTTATGTTCATTAGAAAACCGTATACCAAAAATAATCATTCAGTCACCTACTTGTAGTAATAATTCTGTTGAATGTTATGAAGATACCAGTTGTATGAGTAATGCTAAACAGATAGGCAACCAGGATGATATCGAGGATGAGATGGAAGTGGGTGATGATGATATATCCAGTAACTATGATGACCAGAAGACCAATGAAGAAGACGATTTAACACATTTACCGATGATGATGACAGCGATGATGACGAAGATATTAGTCAGTTGTCTGTCATCTATCGTCCACTTGTCGATATTTCGACACTCGACCAATCAACTGTGCATCCTGTAACACCTACCAATAAACCAATTCCTATGAATTCAAATACTTATTTCAGCAGTCTAGATACGAATAGTAATGAGAGTAGAAATGTTGACTGACAGTATAGCAACAACAATAGGAATTACTACAACAATAACAACTAATAATAATAATCATATTCGTACGACTACATGCATGTAACCCATGATTACTTATTCGAAGATCAATGCCTCGATATGGAATTTAAAACTGGAATAAACCCTTGAACCGCTTTATTTGTATTATCACTGTATGTGTATAAAATAATGACTATATAAAAATTTTGAAAAAGGAAGTTATATCCATATGGACGTTTATAGTTTGTTTCGATTTCGGTTTTTATTTTGAAGTTTTATTTTAGCTACTAACATTTTTAGTTAGTAGTTCAACGTGTTTGTTGAAATTTGTCTCGTTTTGTTTTTGTGATTTAAGTTTATGAAGATGATTTTGAAATAGAGAATGGAATTGATAATGTCATCATTGATAAAGTGATAGAACAGCAAGAAGAAGACAGTGTAGGAGTTGTACATCCTTCAGGAATAAATCAAGTGTTTATCTCTACAAAGGTGGATGAATCCCCATCTACCGTAATATATCATGATGATAATACAGGTGAGTGAGTGATTGACATTTTGAAAATTTCTTCATCTTTCTGTCACTGTATAAATTTATATTAAGATGGAATTTAAAAATCATGAAACATATATTTGAGATAAATAAACTAACCTTTGATAAATACAAGAAATAATTAATGCCATCTGCACTAGAGATGGTGGTTCTCGTGGCCAAAGTGGTCTGGGGGGGGGGAGAACGCTTTGTCGTTTGGAACGAATCTCAATGGAAACAATTATCACTCACTTAGGTGGGGGAAGGAGGTACAGGCACATCCAGATGAAAAGTTCGTGAAATACGACTAAATGTGCATATTAAATTTCATGCTAGTCACTCTCTACCGAACATTCAACTTAGATTTGCAAATGATAGACTGTATCACTTCTGGAAAGAACGAAACAAATGGTCTTTGGCGAATTCCTCTTGCTCTTTGGCGTTACAGTTTCACTGATTATGACTTCTTTTCTTAAAATAGGATATTAATAAAAGTGATGAGTTGTCATAATCACCAATACTTGAAAATTGATTTGATGCTCACTAGCAACTGGTCCTATTCAGGCAGTTACCTGGAATTCCAGTGGGCTACAGCACGTTGAAGGTGACGCAGTAACCCACCGAAGAAGACACTGAGAAGTGGTCGAGCTATGTCGTGGATTTACAGAAGTTAGAATTCATGGACCATTGAATCGAGTGTAAGTGACTTAATGGTCAACGAGCTCGCCTTGTAACCAGAAGGTCCTGGGTTTTAACATAACATAACATAAGCTTTATTCCAAATCAGTACTTGTGATACAGAATGGAATTCTCAGCATTTTACTACAATATTGCATCCAGTTAGTACATTAACAATAAATATAGTTCTACATAGATTAAGGTTATCTCAGTTAGTTTTGACAACAACATATTAGTATGTCGGTAGCAAAGCCAAAATTTAAACAGTGTTTGAAGGTGTTAGAAAAGTAGATACTACTAGCATATTTACTGGAAGGGAAAAAGGAAAAAAAAAATTTAATTAAAAAAAAAAAAAAAAAAAAAAAAGGAAACTCAATGATGTGAAAGATCTGTTATTATAATAAGTTCCTTTTTACGCACAACTTTTTTAGGTGATTCCTGGGTTCAAACCCTTGTGTTGGGGTTGGGTTCATACTGCTGAACAGTCCCACAGTAGGCTTAAGAAATAGGTGTTCGGTACTCTCAGCTTCTTTTCCAATGGTTCCCTAACTGATGTCAGCTCATGATGAAATCCTCCAACCAATCAAACAAAATCCCAGCAAAACCACACTTCCCCGGTCACTCATTAGTCTGCAGAAACCTTAAGAGCACGATCTCGCATCTGAACACTTTTATGCGCATATAGCAGTTCAGCTTTCTCCAAAGAGCCAGTTGTATTCGTCGTTCGATGAGTATCCTGTCTAAAAGGTTTCCAGAACATTGTTCTGCATGATGGAAAAAAGTTTGCAGTGGCTGCATAAGGAGTGCGACAATTGAACACCTTGAGAAAACTGATCATTCCACCAAAAAAAATTGCCTCCTTCAAAGTAATCCACAGAGTGAAGACAATACTCTTTCGTTTCCTTTGTATTCATGACGCTCTATCCAATTAGATGTGAGTCGGTAGCACAGTGGTTAGGACTTTCGCCGACCATGCAAATGGTCCGGGGTTCGATCCCCTGCCGACGCACATCTGATATCTATTTTCGGTCTGTGAAATTTGGACTACCGATATCACATGCTGAAAATTCCATACTTGTATCAAAAAATACGGTGTGGAATCAAGCTGAAATTTTAAAAAAATACAAAAAAGAAGTTGAGTAAGTATATTAGAGTTACACGATAAGATGAATCGTCTAATGGATGAGTTATAATCAGGATGAACATAGAAACAAAGGAAAATATTGAATTATGCAACGGCTCTAAAGAAATAGAGGGGTTATAAGGAGATTGAAAGATTAACATGCAGAAATCAAGTTAGCGAAAATCAACAAGATTATTAACATGACAGTAGAAGTGATTGAGTAATTTTCTTTTCTATACAAATCGTCGGTTTCCCCATCTGATTGGATAGAGCGTCCTCAATACAAGGGAAACGAAAGATTATTATCTTCACTTTGTAGATTACTTTGAAGGAGGAATTTTTTCGAATGAAATGATCAGTTTTCACGAGGTGTTCAACTGTCGCACTCCTTATGGAACCACTGCAGCCTTTCTTCAACCCTGCAGAACACTGTTCTTCAAACCTTTTAGACAGAGTACGCTTCGAAAGACCAATACAACTAGCTCTTTAGGGACAGCTGAACTTATATATGCGCAAAGAAGTTTTTAGATGCGAGATTGTGCTCTTAAGGTTTCTGCAGACGAATGGGTGACCGGAGAAAAATGTTCTCACAGATTTAGTCTCCATTGGAATCAAGGTTCGTGTAAAGTTTCTTTTTTGGAGCAAGTAATACTTCGTTCCTCTATCATTTTGGATGAAGATTTCATTTCAGAAGATCTAGTTATTCTTCTAGAGTGTCCAGTCGAGAGACCCTTTAGATGCCAGTAACAAAGCTTTTAATTAATTAAATTTCATTTCTCCCTCATCTACTTGCAAGTGTCTACAACAGTGGACAAAAAACAGGTAAATTTATGGCTATAGTAATTGAAATACTCTTGGGACTAAATCAATAATAGTTTGATGACACATGACCACCTTGCAACCGATTATCTAACAGCCTAATAGCCTCATTCTAATTCAGAATGTGGTGAACAGTACTGACAGAATAAAACCAAGGTGGACAGTTTTTCTGATGATAAATGAACATTAATGTGTCCCTTGATATCATGAATGGTGACCTCGTGTGATGATGAATTAATGACCTTGCTAGCAGCTGCTAACCTGTTGCAGCTGATCTCTAGATCTCTAGACAAGTTATTCAGAGGCTGCTGGTTATTATTCTACGCATGCTTCGAATTTTCATTTAATCCTGAATCATAAACCGATGCAAATATGAAATAAAATTAGTGCAGATAGGAAGAACTAGTGAAGCGAGTCCTACTGATTAGATTTATCAGTAGTATGTAAAGAGGCGTTCATTTGCAAAAAAAAACACCAAACAACAATGAGATACATTTGAAATCATAGAAGGCAAATGGTGTACAGCCTTGTGGGACACATGTGGAAGACGTGAAGGGAATAACACAAAGAAACACAATATGAAGGAAGGCCAAAAGTGTAGCAGGCAAAACACGGAAGATCAGTGCAAGTGGTGATTTGAAAATAAGGTGTACATAATTTGGCGCTATATAAAGATACCAGTTTCCAAATAAACATTCCTTTGCCAAATCTTTCGTCAACTATCATTTTACACTGGTACAATTTTGAAGACAGAGAATCACTGTGAAATTTGACAAATTTTCTAAAATTACTTTGTAGAGGTTTGATTTGTTTTGTTTTTCAAGTTCCATCATGGACTGATTTCAGTTAGAGAATCATTGAAAACCATCAGGGAATACTGAATAGCTGTTTCCCCCGTTCCCCCGTCCCCCAAGTTTAGGACTTCCAGTTACAAGGAAAGTTCGTAGACCATTCAGCTACCGTGATCCGATTTAAATGCCACATGAATTCAAATTTCTACCGTTTCGAAATATTGAACACGATCACCCCAGCTGGTGAGGTTTTTTCTCCTTCAAACCCAACATTGTTGAGTCCCAGCCGCTGAAATGGTCGAAGTGCTCGTCTTGTCACCAGAAGGTTCTTGGATTGAATTCTGGCTGATGCGCGCGGTAGAGGAGCTCCAAACTCGGACGAAACACCTGTCCAATACTCTCTGATGGTTTTCAATGGCTCTTTAACTGACATAAATCCAAAGTGCAAAGTTAAAACAAGTCTACAAATTAATTCATGACTGGCATTTCACAGACTGATTGGTTTCGACAAAGAACTTGCTGCTCTCCGTGTTGGACAAAAGATGATAGATAATAAGCAGAAATACGAGAAAACAGAAATAGTCACCTGGAAGAGTATTAGGGTTTAATGGATACGACAGGTAGCAAAAAAGGGTAAATGTATTTGTGCCATTGAAAACGATTTCGAGCCATATCTCCAGCCATTGGTTTTTGGCATTCCAGGTGTGGTGAGAGCAGGCCGTGAGAAAATATGAGCAAGGCTGATTCAACACCCAATCACAGCAGACTTAACGTGGCAAAATATGATTCGCAGATAGAGAACTCTATTTGTCGAGGAATCCCGAAACAACCAGTCAGAAGCCTGCGTTCGTCTGCCTAACTTCTGATAAACAACCAATCAGATGACTGCGCTTGTCTACTTGCATAAGCTATAATAATGTATGTGAAATATATATAAATACGTGTTGATTTTCATAATAAAACGATCTGTTGCCAGCCCTTGTCTTCTGTTGTTACATTTGGTGTCGCTGCCTACCGACAAATGGAAAGCCTATGCCCTGCTGTTTTTGATGGAGACATATGGATCTTCGGGCAGGACTTCAAGGCTTCTGCGCAGTTGAGTGGCGTTCAAGATCTGTCAGCGATGGAGCTGCTACTTGGGACGCTGCTGGGAGGTCGGGCGAAAGCAGCCTATGAAAGTGTGAGCCGAAATAACGACGAATGTTCGACAGGGTCAGGCAAACAGTTTCCAAAGTGGGTGGGACCACATATGGTCACGTCGAGATGGGGTTACGCAGACACAGTCGCAATAGCGAACAATGAGAGGCGCGTGAACGTCAGCGAGCTCCAGAAATGGATACAGCGAGACAAGCCAACGATGACGCCTGCACCAAGAAGATCACGCCGACTTCAGTCGCAAGTCTTTGACGGGGGGACGAGTGTGGTGAGAGCAGGCCGTGAGAAAATATGAGCAAGGCTGATTCAACACCCAATCACAGCAGACTTAACGTGGCAAAATATGATTCGCAGATAGAGAACTCTATTTGTCGAGGAATCCCGAAACAACCAATCAGAAGCCTGCGTTTGTCTGCCTAACTTCTGATAAACAACCAATCAGATGACTGCGCTTGTCTACTTGCATAAGCTATAATAATGTATGTGAAATATATATAAATACGTGTTGATTTTCATAATAAAACGATCTGTTGCCAGCCCTTGTCTTCTGTTGTTACACAGGGATCTTAATCTAGGAGGTCTACACCTCCCTATATCGTCTAAGCTAAGAAGAATGAACAGTTTCATCATGGACTGATGTCATGTTTTGGTTTGACTAGCACTGGCTCTTTTCCAACTTGATGCCAAGTCAGCTAATATTACCTCTCGAGAATAGTGTTGGCCCCGGGTGCGTAATACACATCCTAGCCAACTCCGTCGATGTGGCTTCACACAACTTCGTTGACAGACTTCCCTTCATCACTTAACTGTCGATGCCTAGTCTCAATATTACTCACACTATCTCATCACCTAACACAGACACCTTCGATAAAAGACAGGTAGCCAGGCTTTTCATGTCTTCCAATAGCCATGTCTCACAACCACAAAGAACACAGTGAACTGCTAAGCAGTACACATTTAGCTTTGATCGTTCGATGAAAATCACATCTACACCAGAGATGACGTAAGTTGGTAAATGCCACACAAGTATCCGTGTTGAGATCTTGTCAGTAATCAGCCCGCAAGGGCTGACGTGACTTCCTAAATGTGTGAAGTGATCAATGCTCTCTGCAACCTCACTCTCTATCTTTTCGCTAAGAGTCTATGTAGTCCATCCGGCATTGTATCACCTTACATTTGACAGGAGTATATCGCATGCCAAATATTCTAGACTTTCTGCTCAAGGTATTCATAAGGCTCTTCATATTAACAGCGTCTTCACCCAGAAGGACTACGTCATCTGTATATTGATTGGCTGACTGACTGGTTTCATCATAGAGTTTTGCATCGATATGCAGCAGTTCCACCGGGCTTGCATATCACAATGACCCAACAAGCTGCACTGGCTGGAACTATTGTTCCTACACATCCTACCATTCCAGAAAGGTTGTTAGGATAGTGATTAGACTAAGAGAAGTTGCCGGCATGGTGTAAAAATTATTTTTTACACTATGCTGAGGGTCTGTGGACGAATTCGTACTGTTGGGGAACAGGGATGTAACAGCAGTGAGGTGTTTCCCTTAGATGACCAGCGTGTCAGCTTTGCTGTCCCCCCACGCTAGAGAGAGGGGATTAGAAAGGGTCGAACCCGAAAATTGTACATCCCGACTTACCCAACCTACGGTGGTCCGTAACCGGCTGTAAATTTACTAATACGGAATCAAACCAAGAAACCAGTTCATACAGGCCGCGTGTGACTGGCCTCGAGCAGTTGTCACCTGAACTCTACGGTCATGCAACACTAATCCTGCTTCTGTTTCAGGTACCCGTAGAATCAATCAACTTCCAGGGTGTGGGCAGCCGGGAAGTAACAACCTCCTACACACTCCCAAAAGCACACGAAGCCTTATTGAGTATCATTCTCCTTTACCTACATCACCTTCATCTTACTTCCATACTACAGTCAGTACCATTCTGCAAGCTAGTGAGTCATCTTCACTTCACTCTGTGACCACAAACAACGATGAGAGGCATGGAAACACCCTCGACAGCCTCTTAAAGTCACGTCACCAACTTCATATAGGAGCATTTAACGTCAGGACCCTCTGACAAATCGGACAACAGGCATCACTAGCAAGAACTCTGGCATCTTGAACCATGGATGTATGTTGTGTTTCAGAGACACGCACACAAGACCCGAGTGTGGTCATTCACTTAACCTCACGCGGACAGTAAAATTCACTTTAAGGTTTTCAGAAGACTCCTCACCTAGTTCGCGAGGATTCGCAGGTGTCGGGATAGCACTGAGTGTTAGTACAGAAAAATCATTTATTGACTGGATTCCAGTAAATAATCGTATGTGTGCGAATCGTCTGAACGGGTCCGTTAGAAGAAGGAAGGATAGCGTTACCCGTCGTTGTCTTTTCATAATCTCCGCTTACGTCCCAACAGACTGCAATCCAGATGGACTAAAGAACTACTTCCATCATCTGCACATTCTAAGTCAAAGAAATTATTCCCTGGTAACAAGTCAATTGCAGAGTGATTGAAGTCAGTTAGGATTAAAATCATTAGTACATCTATGATGAAGTTAAATAGAAAATGGGAAAAGTGGGCATTTCTGATGGACACCACTTCAGATGACAACTGTCCATAAACTCTTAAATAGCTGACTGAGTTCATACAGTTTTGTTTGTCTCTTGCTTCTATAATATGAGTTGAAATCATCACAATTACATATGCCTTATTAGTACTCATCATTGTATTGAGTAATTGTTTTACCATTACATCCAACCATTTATTTTTGATTTAAACTTGAACTTTCTACTTATGAGTTATTCAAGTATTATTCCTGAGCACTGCATATTGAGTTTGGAGTCCGCTGTCATTAACTAAAATTATGCAACATATGCACGTATAGCAAAAATATTCATTCAGACATGTATAAAGAACAAAACTAGAATAGTAGTCATTAACAACATTGTTGTTTTTTAAATAATATCGATTTGTTAAATAAAGTCATAATGGAATTACATTTCACTAAAACATATAAATTATAATAAGCATAATAAAAATATAATAGCAAATAGAATATCAAATAAAATTAAGGAAATTTCCACGAAAAAATTGAGGATAATTAAAACCTTGATGGCCAGCGGGGTAAGTAACGTGTCTGAACCAACTTCTCGTATTGGATACATAGACCAGGCTTTCTAATGTGGAAACCAACGGCTCCGGCGATGTGTAGTCGGTGAAATCTTAAGATGAAGTTAAGATTAGTTGGTATACGGTTGATGACTTTGAAAGCTGCCTCGTTAACATCATCAATCTTGTGTTCTCTATCCACAAGATGAGATAGAATAGAACAGCTCTGAATGGATTTTGGTTGCCCCTTTCTTAATCACTGTGCAGGATAGTGTTCTGAAATCCGACGAAGAATGTGCCCTAGTGTATGGCCTATGGAGCTGATAAGCATCCGATGAAATAAACAATGGTATCGTCTTTTCCCGCATACATCGTTGTCTTTGCTTCATACAAAACATGCTGATGGATTTTTAAAACTTCTATATATATATATATATATATATATATATATATATATATATAATATTCCTTTACGTTCCCAGTGGGACATTAGGCTTCAAGCTACAGCTTTGATGTTTCGGTAGCAGGGTTGTCAAATTTTTACAGGATATGATTGGTAGCCTGATTGATACTCAACCTTCCCTCTTTACCAGTCTTATAACTAGCTTAGCGAAGTAAAGGAGTACGTCAGTGGCCGGGGATCGAATCCCAGACCACATGTGGCCTGGTTGGCGAGCATTTCAACTCTAAGCCACCGGTGCACAGCATATTTATTATACTTTTTCCTTACTAATAATTAATTTTCGTTTATAATTTACCAGTTGTAAATTCATGCCCTTTTTTCACTTCATAGATTCGAAATTTTCTGCCTCAGTAGAACCGAAAAGTGTAAGTGTACTTTGTCTATTTTTGCCTTTTTCTGCTTGAAAGTAAGTTGATGCAGAATTGAAAAAAAAGTACTTATCTAAAAATTGGAAATATTTTTTAATTGCTGATACGAATTTAAAACAAGCCACAAATAAAAATATCATCAGTGATAATAGGCAGCCTTGTCTTACTTCTGTAAGCAATCGTAAGACCTCGCTGAGCTTTCCACCCTGGATCACTTGATATGTGCCATTGTCATATAACTGTTGAATGAAGTTGACAAGGACTTGACGTACGCCGCAGTACTGAAGTAGTTTCCAAATTACTTCTCGGTCAACATTGTCTGTTGAAGGCCTTTTCAAAGTCGATTAAGTTGAGGTAGAGGTTTGATTATCATTCTATGCTTTATTCGATGACGATGTGTGGAGCTACAATTCGATCAGCACATTCGATTTGCCTTTCCTGAATGCAGCTTATTCTGAGGTAGTAGAGTTCTGTATCCAGTACATCCTTTATTCGCTGTAGGATGATGCCACTTAGTATTTTACTTGGCGTGAACAAGAGCATTATTCCACGCCAGTTCTTACAGAGTGAGGCCTAAGTCGCCCTTCTTTGGCAGTTTGACGAGTTAACCCTTCTTCCAATCAGTAGGCACTTTTCCTTCTTTCAAAACTTTTTGTAGCAATAGAGTGAGAACATCTTTCGTAATCTCAGCGGCCGTCTTCAGTGCTTCAGGAGAAATACCGTCTTGTTCTGCTGCCTTCTCGGACTTCAGTAGCCAGCGAGCTATTTAACTAGGCGTAATTTTTAAATGACCTTGGAATACACTCATTACATTGACAAATTAAAACAATCAACACCCAATAGGATTTCAAGGTCATCAGAGGAGTGAGAAAAATTACGTCCACATGTATCACTGTCCATCCTTTTTTGTTGATTTCATTTCATATTTTTGATTGTTTTTGTTTCTTGAATATTTTAGATTGAAGAATATGAAGCTTCCTTAACTCCAACTGCGCCACCAATGGATGACCTACTTCCTCAAGGCATGTTTATTACTATTATCAACACTAGTAACATTTTATTCACCATAGCTACAGCAAGTATTTGCATGTTTGCACATATGCTATTTTGGTGCGATCACATTTTCTTTCTTGTCAAGCACTTTGTTTTTAGTTAACCGTAGTGTTTCTTATAATGTCACATTATACCGTTTAGTTTGTGTTCTTCTAAACTTCCTCTATTTGCCTGCATTTATATTGTGAAATTCAGGTGTTATGCTTGTTTATTTTTCCCTAACATGGGTGCACATAATTCACATTCAGTATGTGTTGTAACACTACTACAACCTAACGACAGTCTAACAGTTTTTGCACTGAATTGTTTGATTTGCTTTCTAAAACTTTATTGTCTATTTAACAGTGCAGTTTTTTCTAACTGCACTACTGGTGATGGTATTTTGTTCATTCTCATTACTTTTTTCTGCTTAAATGTACGTATATTACACATATGTGTTATATGTCAATGCATACACACAATTAAATACGTATGATAGTTGAAGAAATGTCTTAGGATAAACAATATATATTAGTTATTATTATCCTTTTGAGTGTTGCTCACTGTCAAATTTTATCTATTCATGAGTTAGTCTGTAGACATTTGATTTGTTTCACTGAGTGATGTCATTTGATTGCGGGTGGTTGGAAGGTAGTGAAAACCAGAGACGACTGGAAAAAGTGTTTCGTCCTAATTCGGGACTCTTCAATAGTAACTATTCATGACCTCACACGAGATCGAATCCGGAACCTTCAGGTTACGAGACCTAGTTCGCTGATCATTCAGTCAGAGGTGAGCCGGAATTCATCGATCTTGAAATTCTAAACTCTTCTTACAATTGACGATTTTAGCATGACTAACAGCCGGACAGTATCATTGATGAGTACCTGGTATCACATTTGATTTCTTACTGGTACTCCAAGCAACTTACTTCTTCCTGTAGCCGGTTATCAGTAGGCATCAGATGAATTTGCAAGACTTAGTACTGATGAAGAGTCTCAAGCTAGGAGGAAACCACCGTCCAGTGCTCGTTGGTATATCAGTGACTCCTAATTAGAATTTAATTAGCGGATGGTGACTAGCAGTCAGATCCAGGATGCGCATTTCTTCCTGTTTGGGACTTCCCCACCATCTGGATGTACCTGCATTCCCATGAGTTAGTGATGATCTTCCCACTGGGGCTCGAACCCAGTGCCGATAGTTTCAAACGCCAAAGTGTTATCCACTAGACCACTTGGGCCACAGGAGCCACTGTCTCTTGTGCAACGGGTTATATTAATTATTGAATTGAATTTTAGATTTTCCCGTCGATTGTTTGAACTTTACTGTGTATTTAACGGTGCAGTATTTTTAGCTGCACTAATGGTGATGGTATTTTGTCTATTCTCATTGCTTTTTTCTGCTTGAATGTACATATATTACACATATATATGTTATATGTCAATGCCTACATACAATTAAATACGTATGATAGTTGAAGAAATGTTTTAGGATAAACAATATATAAGTATATATATATTATATATATATATAAGTATTGCTCATTATCAAATTTTATCTCTTCATGAATTAGTCTGTAGACGATTCCAAATTATCTCGTAGTTTCTTTACAACTGCTTTACAACTAACATGGGTAACAATAATAAAATAAAGATCATGACAATTACTTAGTTAAATAAAAAATAAAATAGTACATACTGATGACCAATCATCACACTTAAATAGGTCAAGTGGTCAGTCCATGGTAGGCGAAGATTGAAGTTTTATTAGCTAATGGTTACCCAGAAAACTTCATCAATTGTCACAGTAAGGATACCCCACATCTCGAAAAGACACCTTCTGTGTCAAAGAAAGCTATCTTTATTAAGCTACCATTCAAGGGCGACCCGGTTATGCAGTTGACAGCTAACTCAAAGACTTCGGTCAGTCATCAGACGTGCATTCTACGCCTCATATCTTTTTCTCACTTGCTGAACATTTTTGATCCCTGTTCCTACGATTAAAGGACGAAATTCTGTGAACTCTACTTCAAACTGTAGCTACAAGTTCACCTGCAGCTGCGGTGACACACACTTATATAGGTAGAACCAACAGAATGCTCCAATGTCCTCGAAAAGAACATGTTCCAAAATGGTTACTAAATCATATAGAAAATCCCAACGCGATTAATCTGAATAGAAATCCATCGCCATCATCATCCATTGCAAAATACTTATTAATGTCAGGTCACAAAATCAATATTAATGACTGTTTCACAATTATTTCACTCCATAACTCTAATTCAAGGTTAGTTATTGAAGGTGATGGAATCACTTTGGCGGATTAATCACATACAGCCTAAACTGTGTGTACAAAAAACAATAGACTTCAACCATCGCTTACCATGGACTACATGACCTATCTAAATATGATTGGTCATCAGTATGTACTTTTGTTTTTTATTTAACTGAGTAATTGTCATGAACTTTATTTTATTATTGTTAACCATGTTAGTTGTAAAGCAGTTGTAAAGAAACTACGAAATGACGATATCATCTCGCAAAATTTGCCTTCTAAACGCCTTCTTCAAATTTGTCAAAGCGACTAATTGTTTTATTTCCATATTAGTTTGTTTATTAGATGTTTCACACAGTGAAACAGTATTACTTACTAGATGACATTTCAAACAAAATTTTATTGTTCATAGTCATATCAATTATAATCATACGACTTCGAAACTTGAGTTTTATAGTATTCTTTGTCCTCTCCTATTTGACGTCTTAGGGGTAGCAGAATTTCGCAGATGTCAGGGTGAACAGGTGTTGAATCATTCCTATTGCACGCGTTGGTTTGCAGTTGATTCGATAAGCAAAGCTTCCGTTATCAATCTTCCCCACTCACCACCCTGTCACATTAGATTTTAAAACTGTTATTCTATCCCATCGCACTGTATGGTTGTGTGTAAGTGCATGTAGTGAGTGCTATAACTGAACTATTCTCTAGATATGTTATCTTATTCGGGTTAAGTAATCTAGATTTTGCTACGTTTTTATGCCGGCTAGTCTAACTGCCCGTTCTACTAGTTTGACCTATGTATTTGACCTGACAATCATTGCAGGCTGGGTATTAGATAAACTAAGTTGTTTTGCTTAATTCGCTATTCCACAGGATACTTTAACCGACAAAGCTTGTTTCTAATTGAGTTTGTGGTTGGTTTGAATGGTGGTCACTTTTATTCCTGTCTTGTTAAGAATTCTGTGTAAGGTGGTTTCCGAGGTTCCTTCCTTGTATGGAATTACTACTGCTGATTTAGATTCCTTATTGATGGTGTTGTCTTCCGCATGTTTGACATGCATGTCATCATTGATATTATTATAACAGAAGCTTTGTTTATCGAATCGATTGCAAACACATGTAATATGAATGATTCAACACCTGTTCACCCTGACATCTGGAAAATTCTACTTCCCTTACTACGACAAATAGAAGAATTCAAAGAAAACTATAAAACTCAAGTTTCAAAGTCGTGTGATTATAATTGATGATATGATTATGAACAGTAATAGATTTTGCTCGAAACGTCATCGAGTAAATAATCCTGTTTCACTCACTGTGAGTGATATATCTAATAAACAAACTAATACGGAATTACTTACTACTATGGTGCCCAAGTTTTACACATATATTAATTAGTCTGTAGACATTTCATTTGTTTTATTGGGTGACGTTATTTGATTGCAGACGGTGGGGCGGGCAGTGAAAACCAGAGCCCGACTGAACAAGTGTTTCGTACATGGGATTAAAGCAAGAAATTTAAGTTACGAGGCTAGGCTTGCTGACTATTCAGCTAGAATTGCGTCAAAATTCATTGATTTGTGAATTCTGAATTCTTCTTTCAATTCGCGATTCTAGCATGACTACCAGCCGGCTAATATCATCGGTGAATATTTGTTGCCACACTTGACTTCCTAATGGAGCTCCAAGAAAATTACTTCGTCCTGTAGACGATTGCCAGTAGGCATCAGATGAATTTACAAGGCTTAATACTATTGAAGTGTCTCAAGCTAGGATGAAACAAACGTCCAGTGCTCGTTGGTTTATCGAAGACTCCTGATTAGAAATTAATTGGTAGATGCTGACTAGCAGCGGAATCCAAGATGCGCATTTCTTCCTGTTTGGGACTTCCCCACCATCTGCATGTACCTGCATTCCCCAATGAGTTAGTGATGATCTTCCCAACGGGGCTCGAACCCAGTGCCGATAGTTTCAAACACCAAAGCGTTATCAACTAAATCACTTGGGCCACAACATACACCTCTTGTGCAACAGGTTATATTAATTATTGAATTAAATTTTTGATTTTCCGTCGATTGATTGGACCGAAGTGCTCAGTCCCAGGTTGACATGTCTGTTGGCTTCATGTGCAAATGCTTCAACGATGTCTGAGCTGAGGAGTCCCAAAATGGACGAAATGCGCATCTTGAATTCCACTGCTAGTCACCATACACTAATTAAATCCTAATTACATGCCTAGGCATCATTGAAGCATTTGCACAGGAAGCCGACATGTCAACCTGAGATCGAGCATTTCGGTCCAATCAATCGACAGGAAAATCTAAAATTCAACTAAATGACTCCTAATTACATTAAGATGAAATATCACTTAATATTTTAACAAGCAGTAGCTTAAATTTGTTTTGTGAAATATTTCTAATGATTGTTGTTTGAACTGAGATATTCAGATAGATGAATGTATCGTCAAAATGCATAATTAGGCTTTGAAGTACTTCTCGTCAATTGAATTGATGTGTTCTTGGCATTTTATGCTGGTCTTTTTCGAATCATTTGCTCCTTTCTGACACATCATTCCCCTTGCGTGTGTATGTTTACCTCATATTTGTCCCTTTTCGAGTTACAGAAGTTTGAATTATTCCATCTCTATGTCGGTGGTCCAGTGGTATAATACTCGTCTGGGGTTCGATCCCCAGCCAATGCACTCCCTAATCTGGCT